TTTAGGGTTTAGGGTCCCCCTTCAGTAGATAGAATATGGGGTACAATATGGGGATCTTACTACGATATTGGGCCATTCCATATTCTAGCTACTTAACGGGGACTACAGGGACACAAAGCACTTCGGCCCATGATGCTCCCGACTCGCGCTAGACTTGCTCATGCTTAGTTGGGAAAAAGTGAATGCATACCCATGGCGGCTTCTATGTAACACCCCCATCATGGTCCCTGAAACCCATTCCCCGATTCCCGACTAAGCATGAGTATGTAGTGAGCAGCAAGCTTTGCTTGCAAATCTTCAGCGCGTTCTCCGTGGACTCGATGAGGTGCGCATGGCTGACCTTGATAGCTCGACGGCGCATGCCAAGCGCCTGATGCCTGATGCCCCACAGGCAAACGGCAAAGCTGAGATTCGGGACTTTCTTTGCTTCCTGCACTCGGAATTCGAGGTGCTCACCTGAGTCAACAGGGCTTAGGGTTTAGGGTTCAGGGTAAGCGCATGCAACTCCAAACCTGTGCACACTTTGCTTGAAGTCTTCTGGCAGGCTGCAATTGTTGCCCAAGTGCCGCTTCATTTCCTTCGCACATTTCCTGCGATGGCTGCATGCGATCACCAAAACCTGAACCTCAACTGGAAGGACTACTTGGAGGGCCAGGGGGACTCAGTAACTAGGTTGATAAAGGTACCAAGCCCCCCTGACCCTCCGATTAATGACTAGTACTGGCCTCTTGCAAGTTTGGCCTCTTGCAAGGAAAGACTTGGAGTCGTCACTCACTTCCTGAGAAGCATCATCGATACAATACAATGGAATACAATACGATATATAATAATATAATGTAATATAATACGATATGATCTATGATATAGTGAAAAATATGTGATATAGTATATTATAATGTAACATACTGTAATGAAATATAATATAAGGATATAGTATGATATGATACGAGAGATGATATGATATAAGACCATATTCTATCATCTATCATAATGTGATCTAATACAATATATTCTGTAATACTTCATAATATCTTATACTATCTTAGAAAATATATACTCGGCAAAGCAGGGGGGGGTTCCTTTCCGCTGGCCTCTGGAACAACGCGCTTCACGGAGTTGACCATGTTTGCAATGGCCTCCTGGGCCTGTTCACCATGAAACTATTAATATGGGTCTATGGGTTTTAGGGTTTAGGGTAGTTCCCAAAATTATGGGTATATTAGGGAATAGGGATTCTGTAGGGATGATATAGGGGTTATGTAGGTGTTGTATAGGGATGGTATAGGGATAATATAAGGGCTATCTAGGGATAATATAGGGTTCTATAAGGATTATTCAAAGGATAAATCAAAGAAAATAGAAGCTACTATTTAGGGCTTAGGGATTAGGATAGTTCCCAAAATTAGGGTCCCATTTTGGTATCCCTGAATAATAGGTGCCGTAATAGAATCTAAAACCCAAAGGGGCCCATAATTTTGAGAACAACCCATATAGTACATTCCCCCCTAAACCCTTGTGTCCTGCTCCTCATGGGATTTTTTGCTATCCGGATCCAAGAAGTCGAAGGCAGCCTCAGGACGACTTGGAGTGCATGTTAACCTAAACCCTAAATAGAGGGTGCAGGGTGTAGGGATAAGGGTCAGTGTTTAGGATAATAGGTTCCATGTTCTTTTTCTTAAGCCCCTATATAAGCTCTATACCATATAACAATAGCTTTGATATTGGTCAGGAATTTTCCCCCTAAACGCTACATAGTAGCTTCCATTTTCTTTTCCACATCCCTAAATAACCTCTATAGAACCCTATATTATCCCCATGTAACCCTTGTATTATCCCTATACTATCCCTGCATAATTCCTACATGGTGGAAAAGGGGACCACCAGGCCTTGATGTTCTCAAAGCCAGGCAATCGGAGGTCGAAAGCTGCATCCTCCACAACACGGTTTAGGATTTAGGGTTTTGGGTTCAAGGTTTAGGGCTTAGGGTTTAGGACTGCGAACTTAAGGACGGGGTTTAAATAGCTAATATGTAGGGATTATGCGGAGATATTATACAGGAATAATAGGACATATATAGGGAGCCCAAAAGCACTTGAACTGGGGACAGACACACCATGCATCATCTGTTTAACATGGCTCGCAATGAAATTAGCTTCCAAGGGTTATGAGTTATGGGGATGTATAGTATAGTGGCTATGAGGAAATACGCGAAAGAAATGGAAACAGACACATTATTCAGGGCTTTGGGTCATATACGGACTACATAAGGATTACAGGGATTCTATAGGGATAATGGAAAGAGGAAACTACCATATTGTGATAGAGTACATACATAGGTATTATGTAAGGATTCAAAGGGAGTGGGTGGGAAGTATATAGGAAGAATGGAAAATCAAATGGAAACTGCCACAGTTTTGTGGCATATATAGGGGGTATATAGATATGATGGGGATGGTTGATGGGGATGGTGTAGGAATAATGGAAAACAATGGACAAGAAACTGGCACGACCACACTATGTCGGGTTCAAGGTCTATGGACCAAGCCCCAAAACCTAAACCCTA